CATTGTACTTCAATTGTAGCCCTTCAAACAACCTGTGGTGGGCAGAGCACAGCTAGCCCCTCGTGTAGCTTTGTGCTTAACTTCAAACAAAAACATCAAATCTCACTAACCAGTCTGGCAATTGTAGCCCAAGAGTTGGCAGTGGGTGGTGTTTCCTGCTTAAAGACATCAAATCCCACTATCCAGTCTAGCAATTGTAGCCCAAGAGTTGGCAGTGGGTGGTGTTTACTGCTTATTTCTCTCTCTAGTCTATCATTTCTAAATTAGGAACAGATAGCCCTCATTTAGCTTTGTACAAAAGTCAACAAACAAAACATTTTGTATCAGTGTATCAAAACCCGGTTTCTAGCACTGTAAGTCTACAGACATACCACTGTGCCACTGGGGGCAGTGGGATTTGACTGTCACTCTTATAATAAAACCATGGGCCCCCCAAAGTACATAACATGAATCTTTATCTCTTGGCAACAGGACATGATCCTCAGAACTTTAAATCAACGGTTTGGTATGCTAACCATTTCGATGTAATATATATATATATTTAAACAGATAAAACACATTACATAACCTAAAATAAAACAGGTCTACTTCATAAGCAACCAAATATTTCTGTTTCCATGATACACATATAATTTTAGAAAAACAGTTTTTGAATTTATTGTTTATTATTCATTTTCCTAAACAAATCTCCACCGACACATATGCGTTTTAAAGAATTTTGTGCTAGTTCTCAGGTTAACAAAATGGTGTTTCTCAGTGTCTAAACTCACATACATCATTTAATCTTGAACACTTAACACACATTGTACTGCTATCAATACAGTGTCTATTACTAGGGACTACAGATACGTTTTGTGGCTTAACACTGTGTTACCTCATGGAGATTAGGCAGTGTTGTTTCTCAGTGACCACTAATAGTTATTTTTAGTGAGAAAATAAATTCTTGGTGGTTAAACATTGAGTTACTATTTTGGAGATTAAACTCAGTGGTGTTTTTGGTAACTAAACATATTGTTGTTACTTGGTGACTAAACAGTTACTATTTTGGAGATTAAGCTCAGTGGTGTTTCTGGTAACTAAACATATTGTTGTTACTTGGTGACTAAACAGTTACTATTTTGGAGATTAAGCTCAGTCGTGTTTCTGGTAACTAAACATATTGTTGTTACTTGCTGACTAAACAGTTACTATTTTGGAGATTAAGCTCAGTCGTGTTTCTGGTAACTAAACAGAATTTTATTACTTGTACTGTTCCTTTGTGCTAAATAAAATAGTTTTGGGGTACTTAAACATTGTTCTTTTTGGTCAAACATCTCCCTTTATCTTACAAAGAAAAATAAGAACAAAGTTTTATTTTAAAGAATATAATATAGTCCACACTAAGCTTAAATTATGCAGCATCATGTTGTTGGTTCTTTTTTAGCTTTATTTATTTTGTACTTGTATCTCTCTCACTTTTTTAATAAATATTAATTTAACTCTGTTTATTACCTAAGATTACTTCAGTCATGTCATTTTTGAATGATGCTACAACAACGGAAATATAAAATTTTCAACAAACTTTCTAACCAAAGTTGTAAACTAAAACCTTAGATCGGTATTTCGTACGGATATAGCACTTCCAGGATATAAATATCTAAAATTATTTATGGTAACAAGAATAACTGTTTTTCTTGCATCTTATTATAGAATTTTTTTAACAAGATGTCTTGATGTACAGTTGTTTGTTTGTTTGTTATGGATTTCACGCAAAGCTACACGAGGGCTATCTGTGCTAGCCGTCCCTAATGTAACAGTGTAAGACTAGAGGGAAGGCAGCTAGTCATCCTCACCAACCACCAACTCTTTTACCAAGGAATAGTGGGATTGACCATCATATCATAATGCCCCCACGGCTGAAAGGGGCGAGCACGTTTGATGTGACAGGGGTTTGAACTCACGACCCGCAGATTGCGAGTCAAGTGCCCTAACCACCTGGCCATGCAGGGCCGTACAGTTGTTAGTTCCTTTAATGAAAATGTAAAAAAGGTTAAGAAAGCAACTTTTTGATATCTAACAAAAACTCAGATTTGAGTTTTATAATTATTCTATACACAAAGAATAGGTTAAAAAAACTGAAAGATTGAACACGAGAATTTACTAAAACAAATACAGGTTCAATTTCTATGAAACTCAATGAAAGCTTAAGACAGAATTTGAAGTTACAACTTTATTTTAAAATCGATATGAGAAAACAAACCAACCTTCTTCAAGATTTGAAACTACATCTTCGTCTGTTGTCTTCACTTCAGGACACTAGATATTAAAACAATTTTTTATGAAGTTTTATAACATCAGTTCATTACAAACAAACCTGCCACACATGATAAGTACATAATATTCCAATTAAGAGTAACAAGTAAATGATTGAAATCCTGCAACGGTAACAAAATCTTATCTGGATTTCCTCAATCTAGTTTCAAGATATCCACTAATTTTTACTATATATACACAGATATATTCTACTTCCAAATAAAACAAACAAACAATACCAGATCCAACATCCTCTTCTCAATACTTAATGCCAGAGATGTGTTTGAAATGACGTCTACTTGCAAAAGAAATGGTTCCTCTGCTCTGAGCTTCTGCACAGATTCACACTGTATGATGACAAAAAAGAAAAAAAAATCTTTAGAAATCCACATCATGTGGTTACACAGAAACTTAGTACCACCAGCTGCAAACACTAAGGCTTTTTAGCTGGTGTGAAAAGGTTGATTTAAAGACTAAAAACAGATAAACCCGTGTTTTCTACTCACCTTCATATTCAACAGATTAACAGAAAAAATGAAAGGCTCCATCGTGTCTACTTCTAATTTTTCCTCTCTGGTGCAATGACATAGAAGAGTTTTGTTGTCGACTTCAACTTCAATGTCATAAGTTACCTAAAACAAAGAGGTTATTGTTATTATTATTATCATTACAGCAAACGACAGAGCATAACTGTGTATATCATTGACCTTTAAGAGACACAGACTGCAAATTTTTCGATAAAAACTAACACGTGTTTAATTTCTCTTGCCCAAAGTTGATAAACAGTTGCCTGGAGATTTTCTATTAAAACTTACTAAAACTTTTTAATAAATTAAGGAATAAAAACTGATGAATTAAACATGAATTTCTATAAAAAAAAAAGAACTAAAGATTTATTACATGGGTAAAATGGGGTCTCACACTGTCAGTTCTGTAGGACGCACTGTAAGATGGGCCCTCACAGTGTCAGTTCTGTAAAACATACTGTAAGATGGGCTCTCACAGTGTCGATTCTGTAGGTCATACTGTAAAATAGGCTCTCACAGTGTCAATTCTGTAGGTCATACTGTAAAATGGGCCCTCAAAGTATCAATTCTGTAGGTCATACTGTAAAATGGGCTCTCACAGTGTCAATTCTGTAGGACGTACTTAAGATGAGCTCTCAAAGTCTCAATTCTGTAGGACGTACTGTAAGATGAGCTCTCAAAGTGTCAATTCTGTAGGAAGTACTGTAAGATGGGCTCTCAAAGTGTCAATTCTGTAGGAAGTACTGTAAGATGGGCTCTCAAAGTGTCAATTCTGTAGGACATACTGTAAGATGGGACCTCACAGTGGCAATTCTGTAGGACATACTGTAAGATGGGCTCTCACAGTGTCAATTCTGTAGGACATACTGTAAGATGGGCTCTCACAGTGTCAATTCTGTAGGACGTATTGTAAGATGGGCTCTCACAGTGGCAATTCTTTAGGACGTACTGTAGGATGGGCTCTCAAAGTGTCAATTCTGTAGGACTTACTGTCCATTAAAAACGTGGTGACCCTTACAGTTTCAATAAATTTGTGTTTATTATCAAGAGTTGCTAGATAGCCTAAATGGGAGAAAGGACAAGTTTTACCTTAATTAAGATAATTCTGCTTCCCAAGTTATTCACTTTCATGAACACCTCCTCACTGATCTGCGTAAAAAGGACAGATGAAGAATAAGATCATTGCAAGTTGACATAAATGAACTCAACATTTTTCAAAACTCTAATGTAATTGAACGATAATATATTCTACTCCAAATATAAAATAACTAAAAAGCTGGAGGGGAGATAAACTCTTATAGACTGCGGCATTTGTGTACAAAAAAAAACACACCAAAAAACATTGTTGAAACAAAACAAGAACCAAATATTTGACACTAAGTAACATTTTTCAGTTTGTTTTTTTAATACTAATATGATGGCTAAAGACTTTATCAGTTTTTAAAAAAAAATGTTACAAATGATTCATATAGCTAATTTTTTTTTTTAATAACAGAACTCCTGTTACTTATTGATCCATGTAAAATAATTTTACACAGAAGACACAATTCAGTTTACTAGTGGTTATTAAAAATAACATACAAGAGAAAGACGTTGAGTGAACAACAGTTATTAATTAATTTTTCACAATTTTCTCTCAATAAACATGCAGAAATGGTAGGGTGAATTACAAATTACTCGTTTTCTAAAGTGTGCGACATCATAACCAGATGTTCATTGTTATTGCTAACTAAGCCTTCATTGTCATTGTTAATTAAACCTATTACTTGGACATATACTCACCTTACCTAGCTAACAATTAAAAGATTTTAATCTCCCATTAGTGATTTCATGTCTTAAATAGGCTAGAGGCAAGTGCCTCTGATTAGGCTAAGTGAATTTACATCATAAAATTAGCAAGCGTTATAAGATATTAACTGGACCTTCATTGCATTATCTGTAATGGTTCCAACCCGTCCTATTTTCATTCATGCCCCAAATGGGTGGAGGAAAAAAAGAGATGCAGTGGTGAAGGACTGTAAATACTGTTTCTTATGCTGAGGAATGGACGATTACCCAACTGATTTTATTCTTCAAAATGACTAGGACCTCATGCTATTAATTCATCCAACATATTTCACATCTCAAATTGGCTTTTCTACAGATACCAAAAAAAAATAAATAAAAATATACATATCTAATGATACAGGAGGAACAGAGGAGAGCTTTGTATCATGACTAATGTTTATTTTTCTTGGGTAAACCAACTATCAGCACAAGAAGTAGAAAAAAAGAGAACCTTATATAAAACGTTCTGTTACCTTTTCTCCGGGAAGCAGTTGGTCAGCTACCACGTCATCCAGGCAAGGAATAGGAAGAGAAGAAACTTTCTCCTCACCTCGGCTGAAAGATGCTGTTGAAAATAAAAATCTCCGTAAATTCCTTCTGTTCTTATCATTTTCTCTCTTTTGTTTGTTTCTTTCTTTGTTTTGAATTTCGTGCAAAGCTACACGAGGGCTATCTGCGTTAGCCACCCCCTAAGTCAGCAGTGTAAG